TGACTTGTTATCTTATACCAAAATGTTTTCCGTAAAGATACCTTCCACATAAACATAAATGTTTGTAACGCTACATATAACATTGTGATGGTCTAGATAAGAACTACGTAACCCATCCATGCTTAACATCAGAGTAATCTCAAAACTACTACCTTGCTAAAATTATGAGAGTACATGGTCCAATGTAATGCAGGCTATGAACCATGTAGTTTTCAAATAAATAAACAGGGAACATGTCCGCATTACACAGGACTACTAAACGGAGACGTCATTAAATCCGCGGTTGCAAGATACCGCATGATTGTCGTACTTGGAGGTCGCCTACCGCCCAAAGCAGACACTGAATGAAGCCTGCCGCGGAAAACAAGAGTAGTAATAGCACAACTAAGATAGGGATGGAGCAAAAGGCTTAATGATTACTGGTCACGCATAGACCGTGCCGTCCCCACTTTGTCCGATAGATTTATGGACACATCTAGTTGAAGCAGCACAATTTGTAGGCCCAGAGATTGATGTAGAGCTCACCAAGTAGATTATTGTATAGTTTTAGCTATTACAACAATCGGATTACGTTCCCACGACAATTGAAACTTCGCTCGATTCCCATCAGCCAAAGATGGTCAATTCAGCCACAGCTACAACAACCGTACGTTTTTTTTCCCCAGGGAACAATATTTAGTCACAGCCAATCTGTTAAAACAACAACAACTAAACGGATTATGTACTCCAATAATATTTGCAGGGGAGTAGTTTTGGGATTTCCTAAATGGATCAGGTATTCCAATCAGTTTTGCAGGGATGTTCTTAAAGTTGTTTTTAAATAAAAAAACCATCATTTTGTTTTAATTTTTTAAAGTGAAAATGCTTTATTTTTGGATCCATCAATGATATTGCTCCGACATTTTTATATATTAATAGTAATTCGGTTGTCCAACTACCAAAGTTCAAAATTACGACCTATTCCAAAAATAAAAAAATCTTTAAAATCAAAAGATTTTTTATTTTTCGTATATTTTGAAAACATATGTATGTAAACTCAAATACTCCTTGTTTAAGCTCATGTCAAACAAGTCATTTAGGAATACCACATTTACATATTTCCAAAAAATTTTTATACTACCCCACTTAAAATCATACAAATATCGTCACCTAAAATTGCATCTCTAATTTTACAAATAATAACTTTTTTGGTATATATTAATGCGTTTACATTTCGTGGAAGGAAAATATTAAAGGACAATATACACAACCATAAAAATTTTGCTACAAAACGTTTAACTAAACTGCCACTAAATTGTTCCTGATTGAAAGCAAACGAAGACAAAATCTTTTTAAAATTTACTCAACTTTATTAAGATAAGATTTGGTTTTGGGCATTAATGACTGCTATGCTGCCCAGTCACTAATTCTGTAAATCAACTACGAGTTTTTCCTAATTTTTCATTAAAATAAAAATAATTCTAAGTGCCTACCTTTAGGAATATATACTTTTAGATAGACACTTTTAATAATCTTAAAATTTCTATTTAAAACTGCAAAATTAATTTATTTCATAAATAAATAAACTAATTCCACTTTTAGGTTTTTTATATATAATAATTTCAATTTGTATTATTTTCTTTAAATTTTTATCATTATTTTGTATATTTTTTTCTTAATTATTTTATTAACGAAAAATAAAATATTAGGCTCTTAATAAAATATTTAAATAAAAACTGAAACAGCTGAAAATAAGTCAAATTAATAAATGAATGTGTTTTAAAAATGAAATCTTAAAGATTTTTAATTGTGGTGTTATTTATAAAAAAAATGTTTTAAAACTGAACAAAATAAGAAAATGTCTGACTGTGTTTTGAAAAAAAAAATTGGAATGTTATATTTAATGTTTAGTAAATAAGTGTTTTTAAATGTTTACACACACTCTATTTAGTATAACGAATGGAAAAAGAGTATAAAAACTAAGGTTTCTGAAATTATACAATATAAATTATTATACTATATATTATACACATAAATAACTATTATATACACACAATTAATTGTTAAAGAAAAACAATATTGAATTTATTAACAAATTGGGAAAAATAAATATAAAAAACAAAACTGAACTTATTAAATGTACAAGGAATAGAATAGTTAACTAAATGGTTTCAAAATAAATAAATTTATGAAAAATAAAATTAAAAAGCTAAAATATCAAGTGTTTACTTTTTTTGCATATATCAGGCATGGAAAATTCAGAGCTTTGGTACTTTTTCAGTACTTTTTCTAGTCTAGTATATAGTCTAGTCTTTAGTCTATAGTCTAGTCTAGTCTAGTCTTTAGTCTATAATCTAGTCTTTAGTATATAGTCTAGTCTATAGTCTAGTATATAGTCTAGTCTGTAGTCTAGTCTATAGTCTAGTCTATAGTCTAGTCTATAGTCTAGTCTATAGTCTAGTCTATAGTCTAGTCTATAGTCTAGTCTATAGTCTAGTCTATAGTCTAGTCTATAGTCTAGTCTACAGTCTAGTCTATAGTCTAGTCTATAGTCTAGTCTATAGTCTAGTCTATATTCTAGTCTATAGTCTAGTCTATAGTCTAGTCTATAGTCTAGTCTATAGTCTAGTCTATAGTCTAGTCTATAGTCTAGTCTATAGTCTAGTCTATAGTCTAGTCTATAGTCTAGTCTATAGTCTAATAGTCTAGTCTATAGTCTAGTCTATAGTCTAGTCTATAGTCTAGTCTATAGTCTAGTCTATAGTCTAGTCTATAGTCTAGTCTATAGTCTAGTCTATAGTCTAGTCTATAGTCTAGTCTATAGTCTAGTCTATAGTCTAGTCTATAGTCTAGTCTATAGTCTAGTCTATAGTCTAGTCTATAGTCTAGTCTATAGTCTAGTCTATAGTCTAGTCTATAGTCTAGTCTATAGTCTAGTCTATAGTCTAGTCTATAGTCTAGTCTATAGTCTAGTCTATAGTCTAGTCTATAGTCTAGTCTATAGTCTAGTCTATAGTCTAGTCTATAGTCTAGTCTATAGTCTAGTCTAGTCTATAGTCTAGTCTATAGTCTAGTCTATAGTCTAGTCTATAGTCTAGTCTATAGTCTAGTCTATAGTCTAGTCTATAGTCTAGTCTATAGTCTAGTCTATAGTCTAGTCTATAGTCTAGTCTATAGTCTAGTCTATAGTCTAGTCTATAGTCTAGTCTATAGTCTAGTCTATAGTCTAGTCTATAGTCTAGTCTATAGTCTAGTCTATAGTCTAGTCTATAGTATGTAGTCTATAGTCTAGTCTATAGTCTAGTCTATAGTCTAGTCTATAGTCTAGTCTATAGTCTAGTCTATAGTCTAGTCTATAGTCTAGTCTATAGTCTAGTCTATAGTCTAGTCTATAGTCTAGTCTATAGTCTAGTCTATAGTCTAGTCTATAGTCTAGTCTAGTCTAGTCTATAGTCTAGTCTATAGTCTAGTCTATAGTCTAGTCTATAGTCTAGTCTATAGTCTAGTCTTTAGTCTAGTCTATAGTCTAGTCTATAGTCTAGTCTATAGTCTAGTCTATAGTCTAGTCTATAGTCTAGTCTATAGTCTAGTCTATAGTCTAGTCTATAGTCTAGTCTATAGTCTAGTCTATAGTCTAGTCTATAGTCTAGTCTATAGTCTAGTCTATAGTCTAGTCTATAGTCTAGTCTATAGTCTAGTCTATAGTCTAGTCTATAGTCTAGTCTATAGTCTAGTCTATAGTCTAGTCTATAGTCTAGTCTATAGTCTAGTCTATAGTCTAGTCTATAGTCTAGTCTATAGTCCAGTCTATAGTCTAGTCTATAGTCTAGTCAATAATCTAGTCTAGACTAGTCCATAGTCTAGTCTATAGTTCAGTCTAGTCTTTAGTCTGGCCTATAGTCCAATGGAAAATTAATTTAGTACTTTAAAACATAAAAAGTTATAATTTTTGTTTTAAATTAGTACTACATATTTCAAAATTTAAATTTTCCATGCCTGGTATATAGATTACTTGCCTTTATTTCTGTTGTTGTTGTAGTTGTCTCCTTATTTTACAGCTGAAACACAATATGTAGTTACTTTTTTTTCTCACATTTTGGTTACATACAATTTCTTTAAATAATTGTAATAATGTAATAACAACAACATATTAATGATTTGCTAATATACATATACTCCCTCTTACACTCCCACTCAAAAACACTCTCTTTCGTGTTTCGATGCCTTCTAACAATTGCCTTAACAAATTTGACAAATTGCACATTTTTATTAAATTTTCTAATACATTTTTCACTTATTTCTTAAATTTTTATAAATATTTTTATATACCGATATAAATTAACATTTCTTTAATATTATGCAACAAAAATATTTTATTATTAACAATTAATTTATGTTTTATTTAAATTTAAACAGTATCTTTAAGCCTAAGCAACCGAACACTTTAGAAATATTAAGAAAACTAATGAAATGGAACAATGACAAAAAGCATCCGTCATTGCAGTTGTTGTTATTGTTAGTAGATAGTTGCTCTTTAAATTGAGTTCTAATAATAACAACAACGACAATTTCTATTACCTTTTGTTGCTTTTGTTATTTGTCTTCTTCTTTAGTAGCGAAAAATTTCCTGTTTAAATTAATTTAAAGCGTTAATTAATTGTTAATATTTAAATATTTTTGTTTGAAAATTGTTTATAAATACCGTTATGAAGAAAAGTTTATAAAAGTGTTAAATTATTAGTTTTAAAAAAGTGTTTAAAAATTTGCCAAAAATTCATTGCAATTTTGTTAGGCCGAGCGCGTCGATCGGTGGTTTTCTTTTGTCGGGCTATTCGTTTTGTTAAGTGATGAGAAAGAAGCATTAATTAAAAGGGGTAGTGGGAAAGTTTGGAAAAAAGTCTGAGGGGAAAAGTTGTGAAAAATAAAGGAAAAAAGGTTCACGAAAGAGTGGTGGGTATGCATATATGTAAATATGTATGTGTTTCAAAGTGGAAATATTGTTTTTGGTTGCATGCAAGGAAATGCAAACGGGAGAATATCGCTATTTGAACAGCAAAAGAAAAAGGTGAGTGATTTGAAATAACTAATACAATTTGTTTTATTTCCTTATTAAAATAATTTTTCTGTTATAATAAATTTGACTATGGTCTTCGCTAAAGTACAATCCATAACCTAGACTGTTCTATAGTCTAGATTTCTTCTAATAAAACGAAGATTTACAACTTAAGGAGTAGATTTGGAAAAAAACGATTTGCATACATTAAGAATGATGTAGTAAAACTTAAATTGGGATGAAAAATACAACAAAATAGTAATCAAAAGTAACAGCATACCTTTAGGATGAACAAATTCACTAACCTTTTTATTGAAATTTACATGATGGAATTTGTGTTGAATTTTACATTAAAAATTCACCAGATCTTTTCATTCAACGCGTTAGTTAGTTAGTTAGTAGTTAGTTAGTTAGTTAGTTGTTAGTTAGTTAGTTAGTTAGTTAGTTAGTTAGTAGTTAGTTAGTTAGTTAGGTTAGTTAGTTAGTTAGTAGTTAGTTAGTTAGTTAGTTTAGTTAGTTAGTTAGTTAGTTAGTAGTTAGTTAGTTAGTTAGTTAGTTAGTTAGTTAGTTAGTTAGTTAGTAGTTAGTTAGTTAGTAGTAGTTAGTTAGTTAGTTAGTAGTTAGTTAGTTAGTTAGTTAGTTAGTTAGTTAGTTAGTTAGTTAGTTAGTTAGTTAGTTAGTTAGTTAGTTAGTTAGTTAGTTAGTTAGTTAGTAGTTAGTTAGTTAGTTAGTTAGTTAGTTAGTTAGTTAGTTAGTTAGTTATAGTTAGTTAGTAGTTAGTTAGTTAGTTAGTTAGTTAGTTAGTTAGTTAGTTAGTTAGTTAGTTAGTTAGTTAGTTAGTTAGTTAGTTAGTTAGTTAGTTAGTTAGTTAGTTAGTTAGTTAGTAGTTAGTTAGTTAGTTAGTTAGTTAGTTAGTTAGTAGTTAGTTAGTTAGTTAGTTAGTTAGTTAGTTAGTTAGTTAGTTAGTTAGTTAGTTAGTAGTTAGTTAGTTAGTTAGTTAGTTAGTTAGTTAGTTAGTTAGTTAGTAGTTAGTAGTTAGTTAGTTAGTTAGTTAGTTAGTTAGTTAGTTAGTTAGTTAGTTAGTTAGTTAGTTAGTTAGTTAGTTAGTTAGTTAGTTAGTTAGTTAGTTAGTTAGTTAGTTAGTTAGTTAGTTAGTTAGTTAGTTAGTAGTTAGTTAGTTAGTTAGTTAGTTAGTAGTTAGTTAGTTAGTTAGTTAGTTAGTTAGTTAGTTAGTTAGTTAGTTAGTTAGTTAGTTAGTTAGTTAGTTAGTTAGTTAGTTAGTTAGTTAGTTAGTTAGTTAGTAGTTAGTTAGTAGTTAGTTAGTTAGTTAGTTAGTTAGTTAGTTAGTTAGTTAGTAGTTAGTTAGTTAGTTAGTTAGTTAGTAGTTAGTTAGTTAGTTAGTTAGTTAGTTAGTTAGTTAGTTAGTAGTTAGTTAGTTAGTTAGTTAGTTAGTTAGTTAGTTAGTTAGTAGTTAGTTAGTTAGTTAGTTAGTTAGTTAGTAGTTAGTTAGTTAGTTAGTTAGTTAGTTAGTTAGTTAGTTAGTAGTTAGTTAGTTAGTTAGTTAGTTAGTTAGTTAGTTAGTTAGTTAGTTAGTTAGTTAGTTAGTTAGTTAGTAGTATACAGTATTAATTCCCTTTTTCTTCATTTCTCATTTAAAGAACAACACCACCCCAAGAATCTCTGATTGTTGCACTGGCCACTGAAAATGCCCTACAGAAATCTGTAGCAGCGGCGGCTATAACCCCAATGGAGCCGTAGTACCCAAGAAACACCCGCACCTCCCACACCCAATCTACATCCAGTAGCGGTTAGTTAGTTAGTTAGTTAGGTTAGTTAGGTAGTTAGTTAGTTAGTAGTTAGTTAGTTAGTTAGTTAGTTAGTTAGTTAGTTAGTTAGTTAGTTAGTTAGTAGTTAGTTAGTTAGTAGTTAGTTAGTTAGTTAGTTAGTTAGTTAGTTAGTTAGTTAGTAGTTAGTTAGTTAGTTAGTTAGTTAGTTAGTTAGTTAGTAGTTAGTTAGTTAGTTAGTTAGTTAGTTAGTTAGTTAGTTAGTTAGTTAGTTAGTTAGTTAGTTAGTTAGTTAGTTAGTTAGTTAGTTAGTTAGTTAGTTAGTTAGTTAGTTAGTTAGTAGTTAGTTAGTTAGTTAGTTAGTTAGTTAGTTAGTTAGTAGTTAGTTAGTTAGTTAGTTAGTTAGTTAGTTAGTTAGTAGTTAGTTAGTTAGTTAGTTAGTTAGTTAGTTAGTTAGTTAGTAGTTAGTTAGTTAGTTAGTTAGTTAGTTAGTTAGTTAGTAGTTAGTTAGTTAGTTAGTTAGTTAGTTAGTTAGTTAGTTAGTTAGTAGTTAGTTAGTTAGTTAGTTAGTTAGTAGTTAGTTAGTTAGTTAGTTAGTTAGTTAGTTAGTTAGTTAGTTAGTTAGTTAGTTAGTTAGTTAGTTAGTTAGTTAGTTAGTAGTTAGTTAGTTAGTTAGTTAGTTAGTTAGTTAGTAGTTAGTTAGTTAGTTAGTTAGTAGTTAGTTAGTTAGTAGTTAGTTAGTTAGTTAGTTAGTTAGTTAGTTAGTTAGTTAGTTAGTTAGTTAGTTAGTTAGTTAGTAGTAGTTAGTTAGTTAGTTAGTTAGTTAGTTAGTTAGTTAGTAGTTAGTTAGTTAGTTAGTTAGTTAGTTAGTTAGTTAGTTAGTTAGTTAGTTAGTTAGTTAGTTAGTATACAGTTATTAATTTCCCTTTTTCTTCATTTCTCATTTAAAGAACAACACCACCCCAAGAATCTCTGATTGTTGCACTGGCCACTGAAAATGCCCTACAGAAATCTGTAGCAGCGGCGGCTATAACCACCAATGGAGCCGTAGTTACCCAAGAAACACCAGCACCTCCCACACCCAATCTACATCCAGTAGCGGCGGCAGCAGTAGGAGCCGTAGCAGCTGCTGCAGCAGCAGCTGTAGCACCACTAGCACCAATACCCCAAGACTTGACCACTATGTCGGATCAGGATCTTTTAAGCTACATAAATCCCAGTACATTTGATCAAGGTATGTAAACGGAAAAGTCTAGTCCATTTCGAACAAACTATCAGCAACGATAGTTGTGTAAATAAAATTGTTTTTTTTCAATAGTGTCTTTTTATAATTGCAGTCTAAGAGATGAGAACAACGCCAACAGTTTGTACTGCAACAATCAAGAGGACCAATATCGTAATAATTGACCTGAAAAGTATAAAAGGGGAAACAGAAAAACATAATGAAACTGAAACTGAAAACGGCTTAAAATTATGTTTAACAAGTAAAATTTCGTTTCGAAAGTATTGACCGAGATTTTAGTTATACTTTGCTAAATTTTGAAAAAGAAACATAAACGAGGGATAATTTCTTATGGAAAATCAAAAAATCAAAAAAAAAAAAAAAAAAACTGGAAAACTAAAAAATTTTATTAATAACATTGTATGTACAAATACTATACAAAAAAAAAACTAAATTAAATTTAACAAACAAAAACTAAAAATTAACAAATGGGATCATTATTATAAACCAATTTAAGAAGTCAGTGTTATACAATTGATGTTTATTATTATTATTACATATATTATTATTATTATATATACATATAACTACATATTTAAAAAGTTTAACTGTTTTTCTTATTACATACATACCTATACTTATATATTTACTTTCATAAATATTTTTTTTTATTAAAATAAATTTCATTTTGTAATAATTACACTGCAACACTTTAAAGTCAAATTATTGTTATATTATCTCATCTTTATATAATATACAAAACTATATATACAAATTGTTATATACATATACACTTATTATATACATATATGTATGTATATATGTATTTATATGTTCACATATAACTATATGTAAATATATATAAGTGTGTTAAAAAAAATTAATGACTGCCATATGAAAACACTATTTTTTAAACAAACAAAATTTAACAGAAATCTAAGTTAATGTTTTTTTATTTTATTTTATTATTTAACTAAGTTATGCCTATATCTTTACATATATTCATACATTAATTTAAAAATTAAACTATAAATGTATGAACTACAGAAAACAAAACTAATGTGTCTATTTATTTTCTAATAAACAAAAAACTAAACGAACTTTCTTTACACTAAAACTGGAAAATAAGGCTTTAAAAAGCACTCGAAATTTAGTTGAACAAAATATTTAATTAAAAACTAAATTTATATATTAAATATTTACTTACACCTTTAATTATAGTAAAAATTAAATTTAAAACTGCACTTGTTGTTGGTTTTTTTCTATAAACTAAATACAAAATTTGTACTAATTAATAAATTTCACCTAAAACTATGCTAAAGTTTTTAGTTTTCCTTTAAATTCCCCCTTGTAACAATTTATTTAACTTTTCTGTTTTTATTTTTTTTCCAAATATCTCTCATATAAATAATATTTATTACTTTTTTACATTTACATTTTCTTAGAAATGCTCAAGTCTGAATTATGTTATTTAATTTTTTTTTATAGTAACTACATTTTTTTTCATATTTAATCAATATTTTTAACTTAAAAAATCCCTTACATAAAAAGAAAACGATGAAAAGCAAAAAATTGGCAGAGAGAAAAAATTTAAAAGACTTTTAGTTTTTATCTTTAAATTCTTTTTTTTTTTTGTTATATACTTTATATTATCATATTATATTATTTTTTTAGTTTTTATTTAAACTAAGTATTAATTAGTCATGTTTATTTGCTAAGTCTTTGTTTTGTAAATTTTTTTGAAAATTTTTTCTTTCTTTTATTAAGGCTTTATAAGGTTTTGTTAATTATAATCAATCATATATTTTTTTTAAGTTAAATAAATAAAAAACAAACAATTTGTTAATTAAAAAAACGAAAAATAGTTAATGGAAGTTTTTATTTAAAATAAAATCCTTTTTTTAAGTTTTCTTTTTTTACAAATCTATATAAATAATCGATAACCTCAGGAACTAAGGCACCTGATAGAACAAAAATTTCATATACATATGTTTCAGGCATAATGAGAAGTAGAATTCTATAGTTGAAACGAAAAGTCGACTTTTCGACTTTTGCATTTTATGAAAAGTCGATTTTTCGACTTTTTTTCATTTAATTAAAAGTCGACTTTTAGACTTTTCGACTCTAAGTATTTTATAATAATCGACTTTTCGACTTTTTCCGACTTTCGACTTTTTTCGACTTTTTGACTATTTTCGACTTCTTTCGAATTTTTTTTCGACTATTTTTTACTTTTTTTCGAGTTTTTCCGACTATTTTAGAGTTTTTGACTTTTTTTCCACTTTTTTAAAATTCCGACTATTTTTGACTTTTTTCTACAATTTTCGAGTTTTTGACTTTTCCGACTTTTTTCGACTTATCGACTTTTTTCGGACTTTTCCGACTTTCAGACTTTTCGACTTTTATTAACAAAAGTCGACTTTTCGACTTTTTTCACAGAAGATAGTCGAGTTATCGACTTTTTTGGAACAAAATAGTCGACTTCGACTTTTTTCGACAAAAAGTCGTTTGTTCGATTATTTGAAAGTCGATTTATAGAACCCTAATGAGAAGTGTAAAGTTTTAAATTTGTCCCACAGATGGCGCCGAAGTTTTAATTTTTTTCGTCTAAACCGATTATCTTAAAATTTGATGGGTATACACATCTTCACATGTCTAAAAATGTCCCTTTGTATTTATGCTGTTGATGTTATGCTTATGATATCACTCGGTTATAACGAAATTGTGCGTTCCACATTAGAGTCCTGCTTGAGTAACTCTATTGCTTCTCACAATAAGTAATCCATTGCATTGTATTTGACTCGTTTTTATACCCTGCAACTTCGGGAGTTTGTCATTTCGTTTGTAAGTTCCACAATATCATTTTTTCGACCAAATAAGGAATATTATTCTGTATCCTTATAGATCTGTCTGTTCGTCTGCATGAATGTTGTTATCAGTTTTTTGAAGACCCCCTGATAACCGCGTAATATAAATTTTCTACATTGCACTCGGTGCTGGGAAAATACTTTGGAGATAATTAGGAAAGTTATCAAGGTGTCCAAAACCGCTTTCCGTTTTCTGATTCCAGTTTTAGGATTTTAGAACATATGGCCCAAAGTGGAAATTTGGATTAAAAAAAAAAAAATATGTCAAATTCGGAATTGCATAAAAGCTACTTATTCAAAAAATATGACATGATTCTTTTTTACCAAAATGTTCTCCATAATGATACCTTCCACACAAAACATAAAATTGTTATATTCCCGCAAAAATTGAGACGACTCCCCGCACACGCATTTAAAGAGTACTTCTCAAAGGCTCCGAGTGTTTGATAAAAACGAAACCCATTTAAAATTATAATGGTCTAGATGAGAACTACAGCTTATTCATCTATGCTTTACATCAGAGTAATACCAAAAATACTACCTTGCTAAAATTATGAAAGTACATGATCCGCAATATGGTCCTATGTAATGAAGGCTATGGGACTATGTAGTTTTCAAAAAAAAAAAAAAATAATAAACATCGCCCATGTCTGCATTATATAGGATTAAAAACGAAGACGTCATCAATTCCGCGGTTGCAGTATAACACATGAATGTTGTACTTGAAGGTCGCTTAATGATTCTACTTGAAGTAATAGACTTAATGATTACTGGTTAGACTTTTACAAGTGGTCCCCACGTTGTCCAATGGATTTATGGAGACATCTAGTTGAAGCAGCGTAAATTTTATGTCTGGACATTGATGTAGAACTCCGCAACTAGATTATTGTATAGTTTAACCTGTTGCAACACATCAACTAAACGTATTACGTTCAAACGACAATTGGATTTTCGCTCCAGACCGACCCCAATTCCCAAGCGACAGCTTTATCAACCGGAGTTTTTTCGCCAGGGAAGAATGTGTTGTTACAGCCAATCTCATACAACAACAACAACTAAACGGCTTATGTACTACAATAATATTTACAGGGGAGTAGTTTTGGGGATACCTAAATGTATCATGTATTCCAATTATTTTTTGTGGGGATGTTCTTAAAGTTGTTTTTAAATACAAATCGACCATTTTTATTTATATTATTGGTAATTCAGTTGTCTAACTAACAAAGTCCATTTCATTCGGTTTAAAGTTACGACCCATAAGAGATAAATAGCATAAGTCAGATTTAGCGCTTTTCAAAAATATAAAAATCTTTAAAATCGGAGGGGAAATTAAAAATGGCACTTTGAATCCCATAGCACGGCATTAGTGGGGACTATTTTCAAAGCATAAACTCGAATGCGCCTTGTTTAAGCTCGTGTCAAACAAGCCATTTGGAAATACCAGATTAGTTTCCCAAAAAGTTTCATACTACCCCACTGTGGCCTTTAACATTTACAAAATCTTGAAATTATACAAATATCGACACCTAAAATTGCATCTCTAATTTTACAAATAATAGATTTATAAGAACTTTTTTGGTATTTATTAATGCGTTTACATTTCGTGGAAGGAACAGAAAAGATTAAAGGACAATATACACAACCATAAAATTTTGCTACAAACGTTTAACTCAACTGCCACGAAATTGCTCCTAAATGAAAAAAGTCTGATAGAAGCAAACGAAGACAAAATCTTTTTAAAATTTTACTCAACTTCATTTAGATAAGATTTAGTTTTGGGCATTAATGACTGCTATGCTGCCCAGTCACTAATTTTGTAATTCAACTACAAGTTTTTCCTAATTTTTCATTAAATTAAAATAAAAAGAATTCTAAGTGCCTACCTTTAGGAATATTTACTTTTAGATAGACACTTTTAATAAACTTAAAATTTCTATTTAAAACTGCAAAATTAATTTATTTCATAAATAAATAAATTAACTCCACTTTTAGGTTTTTTATATATAATAATTTCAATTTGTATTATTTTCTTTAAATTATTATAATTATTTTGTATATTTTTTCTTAATTATTTTATTAACGAAAAAAAAAAAAATATTAGGCTCTTAATAAAATATTTAAATAAAAACTGAAACAGCTGAAAATAAGTCAAATTAATAAATGAATGTGTTTTTAAAAATGAAATCTTAAAGATTTATAATTGTGGTGTATTTATAAAAAAAAATGTTTTAAAACTGAACAAAATAAGAAAAATGTCTGACTGTGTTTTGAAAAAAAAAAAAAAAATTGGAATGTTATATTTAATGTTTAGTAAATAAGTGTTTTTAAATGTTTACACACGCTCTATTTAGTATAACGAATGAAAAAAGAGTAAAAACTAAGGTTTCTGAAATTATACAATATAAATTATTATACTATATATTATACACATAAATAACTATTATATACACACAATTAATTGTTAAAGAAAAACAATATTGAATTTATTAACAAATTGGGAAAAATAAATAAAAAAACAAAACTGAACTTATTAAATGTACAA